ACCCCCGCCCCCTCTCTCTCTGTCTTATTCCTTATCCGTGGAAATATGTGATTTCCTAGCAAATGCTACATTTTACTAGAGTGATTTTCATCGTTGATTCACAGAAAATAAGACAAAGGATGACACGGGGTGTTAAAGCTCCGGGTGAGCGCAACACAGGCCGATGTGCACTTCCATCCACTTTCTGCAACTCGCAGGAGAAAACTGTGCGTGTCTGTAAATTCGTTTACATCATTCATCACAGGGACGCAGACAATTTTGTCCCCTTATCGAATCACCTTTTGTAATGAATCCAATCATTTAAAGTCAGATAGCGAAACTTGGCACGGTTGGACTGACTGTTCACCTGCTGTTTGCACCAACATTTCTGAAATGACCGAGCATTATTTCCCCCCAAACCTTCAACTGATATTAATTTAATTTATTTCATATGCCTAGAATATATATATATTATACATATATGTGTGTATAATATCCCCAACAATTTCAGAAAGTATAGTCTGAAAATATTGAGTATTATTATTATTATTATTATTTTTATTGTTATTATTGTTATTATTATTATTATTATTATTATTAATGTTGTAGAGATGTTTAATAGTGGATAACACATTTCGAATAAAGTTGAAGACTATGTAGATCATGTCGTTTGAACCTTCATTTTTGTCTTTTTCTAATCACATATACATACAGCCATTGCTCTGCAGAAATCAAAGCAAGTTACAATCAGCTATGTCAGCTTTCTGGTTGGATGACCAAGTTGATTTCCTCTTCTTGACTGAATAATGCTTGGTGCTGGGAATTTGTGAGAGAAAAAAAAATACCTAAAATAGTCAGAGGCGCTGACAAAAATCACCAAAAAGTCATTTTCTTTTGTAGTCATTGCTCATGCGACCGTTTTGCCAATAAAGCCTGCCAACGTGGTGCACTGTCAATATTAATGAAGATGGTGCTCCAAATATGATGACCTGACAGCAACAACAACATGAGGGGGGAATACAAAAAAGAAAAACGCGTTTTAAGGGATGTGGCTGTGTGCTTATGAAGCGTGAGGGTCTGGTTTGATAAAAGGTCTGGGGTTTGATACAGAGCGGGAGAGAGAGGGAGAGAGAGAGAGAGAGAGAGTTGATTGAAATGGCGTGTGCCTGGCTGACGGGAGCCAGTGAGGGACAAAGCCCCTGCGAAGCCACGGCCACTCGAGCAATTATTCCTCCACGCTGCATTTGGATTAGTGCAATGGAAAGAAGCATATGTTTGGCCCGGGGCGACACTCCCCCCCTGGCTGACTGCAGAGGATGCAGGGAGAGAGACAGGCAGAGAGAGAGAGAATGACTAAAACTAAAATATAAACTGCATTAACCAAGTGGGGAAACATTAACACAATTTTAATCCGCTCCCCTTTTTTTCATATATTTTGGGATACACAGGCCCATGAAATTGGCAGACCTCAGTGCTTGATAGGTGACTGGAGGACAACAATGATTCCTGATAAGTGCTGTCACAGCGCACAAACATTGTTTATTGTTAATAAAGCCTTTGCGTGGCTCAAATAGAAACCATAAAAACACATGAAAACACACTGCACAAACACATCCATATATAACCCACCATAACTAATAGCTATCAATATTCAAACACCTCTCGTTTGTGTATGAGCCTGCATGGAATTATCGAGCTCCAACGCCTATCAGGAGTCCCTTTGTTTATTCTAAGTCACTTAATGTTTTCTAATCGATTACCTAATGTCTCAAGTAATCAAGGGTGATTTGATGATTTGGTGGAGTCATTGACCTCTCTTGGCTTCTGAGCCCTGGCTCGCAGAGTGGGCAAGGGGCCCATAGGGGGTCAGCGCCAGGCGGGGGGCCAAAGCCCCAAATGACGGCTGATGTCAGAGTTGAGGACAATTAGCCATTTTGCGCTTCATTGCGAACTTTAAAGTCACATAATTCGATTGCACCGATAACCATATCAAATGTCATTTAGAGGAACCCTGCCTCTTGTCCAAGCCACTTATTATTAAGCCGGCAGTTTGAAATGCGCCGTTGGTCAAACATTTGATACAAGAAGCTCTAATTGGCAGCACTGTGTCTTGCAGAAATTCTATCGATAAAGTGACCATCTGCTCTCTATCATTTCAGACTTTGTCTCTCTTGTATTTCTGGGACATCAACATCTTTAAGTCCATCAAAATCCTCATCAATAAGGAAAGACTTTCCAGCACCGTGTGGACACTAATCCTCCCTGCAAAGGCAGAGATTTCTTTTTTTTCCCTAAAGTGCTGCGCAATAACTGATCATCTTTAAACAATCACTTCAATCTCCATCTCAGATCCCAGTGTTTAAATGTCAGGAGGACAGCTGGGCTTAAATCAAATTCCAATCATACCAATGTAACATTTGTGGCAGTACAGTGAACAAATCTGGGCCTTGTAGGCTTGTTGCCCTATATCTTCCCATGCAGCTCCAAAGCATTGCCTGCGAGCGTTACAGTGCAGACTGTTGTAGTGATGGTGCTACGGGGTAATTAGGCCATGCAGACACTCTCTCACCAAGCAATGATCTCAGCAGCATCAACTAAATACTTTCTGACCACAAACACGGCTGCTAGCGTGTAAAGTGGATGGGACACATTTGTACACGACTGATGAGCGCAGCAGTGATGTGCAGCTGGTTGTAGATGAAAAAAGTTGCGTTGTGTGCCCGACAGACAGTGATCAATAGAGGGCGAGTAGCATGCAAAATAAATATGTTTGCAGTATTAGCACACAAGCATTAATCTGTCCTCTAAAATAATCCTCCCATGCGCACATCCTTTCTTTTTAAATGTGGCGCTACAGCTTTTGATTTAAAGTCAGATCAGTGTCAGACTAAAGTGCACACACACACACACTATCCACAGAGGTGGTTTAACTGAGTCTGTCTGTGTTTGTCCTTCATTACATCTCTGCTACAAACTATAAATATCAACAGAGCGCCAGCCCACTGGACCTTACCAGCAGACAAATACTGTATGAAATAAATAGATATAAAGACACACACACACACGCACACCTCTAGCTTCCAGCATCATCATCTGCCTGCAGAAGACGCTTAATCACACTAAATGTATCACTTTAACCCCCCAGTTTATATTTTATTTCGCGCATTCTCCAGCATATTTGATAACACATGCCTCACACTTATTAATTACTATACGGGAATCAGCTGTAATTGGTTTAGTTGAGACAAGCAGCAGTTATGGATTGAATTAGCCAAATTCAGCTGGGTATTGCTGACTGGCTCTTCAAATTTCAGATCTCCTTGTTTTTTGTTTTTATTTTTTTGTTTTGTTTTTTGCAAATGAATTTCGCTTTGAGGCATTACGAGAAACTAGCTCTACCTGTTTAAGATCGAATTAGGGTAAAATTACAATTTTGTATTAAAAAGGTATGCAAATTAGGCTGGTATCGGTATAAACAAACGACAGACAATGGGATTTGGAGTTTCTTTAACACTCCAATTCCATTACACAGAGAGACACAATTACAAGCCCTGCGATCCTCCTCATCTTATACTAATAATACGCACAAATATCCACCATTGTCATAGATACCACTATTTCTAATGCGTTCGTTTCACCCTCAAAAACCTGTTTTCATTCAACCAAACCCCGATACATTTATTAAACAGCATTAGCATTAATGACACACGTGAGGGGCTTCCCTTTTTTCGCTAATACCAATGAATGCTGTTTTAATACGATTGTTTTCCCTTAAAGTGACTATTTATGCTCTTCCCCCCCCCAACCCCACCCCCACATCCACCATAGCAGGAGCAGCCGGGTAGTCTCTCCCCTTTATGAGTGAGCTATTGTGCCTGAGGACAGGATCCCACACACAATCTGAAGACTGAGCCAACAAAAACAGGGCCTGACAGACAATGCCTCGCTTCACCTGCTCCAGCACTGTGCATCGCAATTATGCCAAGGACATGTACAGTTAGGCTTCATTCACCCTCCTGCAAAAACAACTGCCTCAGAATTAAACCAGGGCCCGAAAATCATGCAGATAATAAATATGGCTGCAGAGGAGATTGGAGAGAGAAAGAGGAGGAGAGGGAAGGAAGGGGGGGTTCGCCCAGTGCTCTCCCAGTGTTACAATATTTTAAACTGCATGGTTACCAGACAGTGAAATGGGGAAAGCGAGAAACAATACCAAGATGCATATATCACCAGACTGATTCATGCTCCAGACGAGATTGATTTCGAGCTATAGGTGCCACGCCATCAATATACAATCAAACTCTAAATGTTATGCAACGGCCTGCTCTCTAGCAGCTCTGCACGCAAAATAAAGCAAAGGCCAGCTTCAGATTTTGCTATTACAGCCAGCGTGATAGCCACATTTATAGACCCACTCAGGCAAACACAACGAAATGAGACTAAATACCAGTTAGAGCAGGAGATTCGTTATGAAAGTATCATGATTATATCACGAAATATACATAAAAAGCCACCATACTGGGCGCTGATTGTTCATTGATTACACTCAGAGGCAAAACAACATAACAAATATTTGATGCATGTCTTTGAATAAGGCTCCAGCACAGAATAAACGGAGGAGAGCCAAATATAGCCTATAACAACCAAACATTGCACACCAGGCCTATATACATCTCAGAGGGTTTTAGCTGGAGGGGTGGCGCTGCACACTTCAAACGCGAATATATCCATTGTTGTGAGCCATTTGGCCTGCATAAGATCCTGTGCTCTGAACTAGGGAGTTTAAAGTAAGATTTTTTTTTTTATTATACTTGAGGGAAACAATGAGTTCAGCTGCTTATTGCAAGGAGCAATCGTCAGGGGAGACTTAAACTCAATTACTGTAGCCGTTCAGAATGGGAAAAAATACTAAGACCAAAAAAAAAAAAAAAAAAAAAAAAAAAAAACAGAAAGAAAAAAAAACACCCGGGCGTATCAAGCAGTGAATAAAAAATTAAAAGATATGAATAAAAATCGAGATGAAGCGTATCAAATATTTATTTTTTTTCTGGGCAACAAAGGACTATAATACATTGACAGGCATGGGAACTATTGCCAGCACATGTCTATACAATACAGCTAAAACCGCCTCCAATTTTGGACATTATCGGACATAACAAGATATCAGGTGGTCCCAAAAAATGTTTTTTGAATGTCTTCCAACATTTAAAAAAAGACAATATTCCATTTATTGCTTTTATGGTGCTTCAAGGAGAGAACAAGAGGTGAAACGTATTCTGATTGGCACAACACATAAAAGCTTGTATAAAAACGAAAATAGAAAGACAAAAAGAAAAAAAAAACAGTTCTCCTCAGGGTCTCACTTATGCTCTGTCTCAAATTAAAAAAAAAAACTGAATAAGGATGATATATATAGAGAGAGAAATGGAAGTTTATTTCTATTAAATTTGTTCACTTGCTTCAATGTCGCCTCAACATGCTACAAGAGGGCTGAATTGAAATATCCCAGAGAAATAAAAATACCCCAAACTTCTGTTTTCTAAGAACCATAAAATCACATGAAGAACTAACCGAATATTCAAACCCACTAAAACAGGAGGCACCAGATAAATAAAAAAAGAAGTTTCAACAGACGCACCATATTTACAATTCCCATTAAATTACACATAAATAAATATATACATACATGAACACTGATTCCCTTATATAACCGTGAATCGTGTTGAAATTCAAAAAGTTCAAGTTGGTCGCTTGGAGGAGAAGAAGAGTGAAAGTCTACAACTGAAGTCATGACATGGAGCTCTGTGGAATTTCTCTTTGTTTTTCAAGTTTATTATTCACAATACTGATAAGAATTCATCCTCTTTTAGCTTCGTTTTTGTCACAATCGTAAAATTGAGATATAGAGGGGTCGCTGGATTTCAGTCCATTCGTTGCAGCTCATAAAAAATAAGGGGAGTACATAAAAAGTCCTCTGGCTGAGGCAATACACCTTTTTCCTCACCCTGGAGCTGTTCCTCTGCAGCTTTTTTTCTTTTCTTTTTTTTTTTAGTTAAATAACATTTCGTATGGTTCAGGTGTTGGAAGAAGAAGAAGAAGATTTCTTGCGTCGTTTCCCGTGAATCCAAAGTGGGATGTAAAAACAAAACATGTAAAACCGCGCAAGATCAGGAAGTGGCACGTTTAACTTTATCAATAGTATTTATAAGGTATTTATAATATTTATATTGAACGGGTGGGGGGGGCCGGGGCAAGGCGGAGGGTGCGGGTCGGTGTTGAAGAAGGGGCCCTGGGGTTTGGCCTCCGGTGAAGGTGGGATGGAAACATCACTTTCTGTGCTTCTCGTCTTTGTCTCCGCCTTTAGTGCCGTTATCTGAGTGACTGTTGGGGTTGTTGTTGAGGTACATTTTGTCCATGGCTTTGATAGCCTCGGTCAGATAGTTCTGCAGGGCCGTGACGGCCGCGCACAGTGCCGGGGTCCCGAAACCGTGCGAGATTAGACTGAAGTGGGTCAAACAGCTCTGGATTCCCGGTTCAAGAATGGGCTGCGGCCGTGAGTTTCCCAGCGGCGAGCGGTCCTGGGACAGCAGGTCCGTGAACTCTTTGCAGACTTGCCTGGAACAAGAGAGAGAGAGAGCGGCGTGTTAATGACCAAGACTGAGCAAATCCCTGCGTGCATTTTAACGTCCAGACAAAAATAAATCAAAGTGGACACACTGCAAAAAATAGCCATGTTTAAATCAGTCAGTCCTGCAGGGGGGCTGCAATTCTAAATTTGCTTAAAGCATGTGAAAATTGACCAGCCACTAAGGTGAGACTATAATTCTCCTGCCCCCCCTCCCCCATGTAAATCAACTTATTTCAATCAGTTTTACAGCATTTATTAGTGGACTGAAACTGTTCTTCGTTCTGCTTTGTTTTCAGAAATTAACACTTGGCTAAAGAAAATGCCCTGCAGCTCCAAACAGGTGGAAATGAATCTCTGAGCTCAGTGGCAGGATAGTTTACTTTTATTAAAAATAACATTTTAAGAGAAAACATGACTCCAAATGACTTGTCGATGTAAAACAAAAGATTTTAGCAGTTTAAACTTTGAACTTCAATCGCTGATTATCAAATAGCAAACACTAACCACTGACACAATACAGTCAAATAGCCCCCCAAAAAATAATATTTTTTTTCTCAAAAGACACCTTCTTGTGAGTCACTTACACTGTGAACGTATGTAAAATATTTTTTATAACGTAAAGAAAATTGCATTCCACCATTAAAAGGTGAGTTAGCGCGGGTTTACTCTCCATTGCATGCTCCTGCTATTTTAATAAGACTCCAAAAGCCTGTAATAAGCGGTTATGGCTGACAGCTGTTGGATTTTAGCGGCCCATCATCAATATTAAATGCCGGCTTCTGCGTCTCTGCCTTTAAAGGGAATGCCCATGTTTCAGCTAACGCATAGTAAAAATATCCAACACCAATGGTAGCGCTGGATGAGAACCAGCTATGTGTCAATGTCACTGAAATCACAAGGAAAACTAAACTAAATACTGCTGTGCGTGCGGATGAGGGAACTTGGGGCCTAGTCAACAACGACAGGACATTTAACTGAACTGTACATACTGTAACTATAATTCAAAATATTATATAGACTCACATGTTTAAAAAAAAAAAAAAGGTTCAGTGTCTGAATAAAATCCAGTAACATTTGAAAGTGTGTGGCTAAAAAAAAGGAGGAAAAAAAAAAGAAATCCTATTTAAATGATTTGCCTATAGCTGATAGCACTGGTGGGCTGATATTGACAGGGAGCAGTGATGACATATTTTATCATCTGACAGTGTGTACAATTCTGATTGGTTCGAGATCAAACTTGGGATCAAGTGTGGAAAAGTGCATTTTAATAAAGTAAAAATTAATTTAATTAAAATCTGTGTATGTGTGTGTGTGTTTCTGTGTGTGTGTGTGTGTGTGTGTTTTAATTGACAGTTTGCACACACACACACACACACACACACCCACACAGTGGCACAGGGCCGGGATGCATTCGGTGTGACACAGTGAAATGTGATGATAGCACTTACTTCGTGGCCAATAGCATGTTTTTTCTTTGGACTTGTTCGTTTGGGTCGGAATGCTGACGGTTTACATATTCAGCTACTGCCTTGGCTGGAAACTCGGTCTCGCATACATAACCGAAATCCCTGGCAAGATGTACCGCTTCGCCTGAGAAAGAAGAGGAGGAGGAGGAGAGGAGGAGGAGGAGGAGGAGGGGGGGAAATGAGGTTGAATGTGTTTGCTTATTAAATATGGTTACATCAAATTCAGAGCAGTTCACACTCCCTGCCTGGACTAACACATGATTAATCTGATCTGAGCGGAGCGTCCACACTGTTTATGCGTTCAGACAGCAGGGTTGTAGCACCTGTGCCTTCCCAACAAACACTAATGATGATGATAACAACAATAATAGCCCAGAAATAATAATAAAACAGCCCTGCGAGCTGTCAATACGCGTCAAGCTCTCTCCTCCATACCGTGAGAACGGTTAAATATGGAGGAGAAACAATAAGTGGATAGGAAATATAGACGGAGCGTCATGCTTAACACCATGTCATTGATTACCAATGCCTGCGCATTATTGGAAGTCCAGCATATCACACAGTCATGGGGAAGCAATTTTAAAGGGCTATACCTAAATCTCACTTGCTCTTTACATACTTCAGCTATGAGAATTACAGGGTTTTCATTCCGTCCGAGTCTGAGCTCGCCTCTCTCTTGTTGGTTGACTTTCTTTTTTTTTCTTTTTCTCCAAGTCTTTGGTTTTAATTTCCTGAAGCAGTTGAGTTTTTACTGCGGGGCTTCCTGCCCATAAGCCCCTGCTCCGGAAGAACGCATGCGCCAATTAGCATCAAAGCTCAAGTCCAGTAAACTCGTTTCCATAAAATGGAGCGGATCATAAACAATGACAGCACTTCAGAAAACCCACTGTCCCTTCACTAAATAACCGGCTGCCATCCACCGCCCCCCCTCTTTCCACACACACACACACACACACATACACACACGTGCCACCACCCCCTTACTACCCAGAATCATACATTTCTCCAGGCTCATTACAATACAGCACCGAATTTCTCCGAAGCACAATGAACACTCGGCCCGCTTCTGCAGCAATGATTAACAGGGACCAATGAACCATCGCAAGCTTTCACCTTTGGAAACCCACTGCACACCAAATACCACTGCACTGAATAATAAGGTTCAACTCTGCAAGCAAAATGGATTTATCCAGGTAAAAGGCATCTCTTCCGCGCACCATAATTGACTAATTTATTCTTTAATAGGCCCAAAACATATAGCTCCCTATAGGTCAGCGCCATGCCATTTGCATGCAACAAAAATCTTCAGTGAAAAGCAAAACACGGGAAGCTATTAACGAAAGAATTAAGTCACCATTAAAAAAACCAGCCCTGCGCTGCCATACCCAGGCCTGTATTAATGTTTGAAACAATGCAGGGTTAATAAATCAATCGACTTCTCAGCCATGAGGTGAAACAGCTCAGCGGTGCCCAATAAACAAGCAGCACTCAATAATTAACTGGACTTCAACACAAATTCATCCAGTGTATAAACTAGGCCAGCCGTGGACCTGCAAGTGTGCTCCTGAAAGCGGAGGCCAACGCTGCAAAGCCACTAGAATTACCAGCACCATTCTCTCTCTCTATCTCTCTCCCTCTCTCTCCTCACAGACACACACACACACACACACACATCCTTCATGCTTTATTACTTGCGAGGCAAAGTCGGTCCACATTACACGGATGAGCGCATATGCTGATTTCCAACACAGAGAAAGAAAGAGAGAGAGAGAGAGAGAGAGAGAGAGAGATACACCCCCAGTTTTGCAAGCACCTGATATCGCGGGAGCAACAAGAGTGGGAACGTGATTTGCGGCACCCGACACTTACCTTCGACTAGTGACGTCAGTAAGGTGACGTTGGCTGCCTTGCGTCTGCCCGCAGGTAGATTCAAGCCGATTTTATCCAACTTCTCCCGCAAGGATCTTCCTCCGTTCTTAGACTTTGCCCTGTGGCACCAAAACAAAGCAGAAATTCAATATATAATTCAAATATCTAAAATATGCAATAATGTAGTGGTGAATTTAGTGGCTTTAGTGAAAAGTTACCTACACACTGTCAAATAGTTTTAAGGATTATGCCCTATCAGTTTGGGTTTTCGGTGTCACTTTCTAAGGTGCAGACTCTGATATTTGCATCATGTAAACATGCCCGCCAGTAAATGTGGTTCAGCTCTTTTTTCACTAATTAAAAGGTGAATGGGCTGGATTTGGCTGGCTTTACCCTCCACTACATCTCTAATACCAGCTATAAATAATACTAAAAGAGCCCAAACCTTTTCACCAGCAGACAAATACTGTACAAAATGAATAAATAAAGCCCTACTTAATAGGCAGTACTATTACTGGCTGCGTGTCTGCAGCACTTCAGTAGACAGTTCACTGGAGACCAATGTTTTCATGTGTAATGCCTTCACTGGGCCTATAGAGCTGGGGTTGAAACAGACTAGGCCTACATTAATTTGAGAGCGATGGGGAGAGAGAGAGAGAGAGAGAGAGAGGGAGAGAGAGAGAGAGAGATCCAGTGCTAGGGAAGTTAATATGGAATTTAACAGACCCCTCCTGCTTTAAATGCAGGAGCTAGGTGTCATGGTTGGTCGATTTTAATTATTCTTGGTACAGAGGAGAGAGAGAGAGAGAGAGA